AAGATAGCAAAGAGCCTCCAGCAGAGTGCATATAATTAAAAATAAATGTGATTTGGGATGGAACTGGAGTATGGTAATGCTGGTATAAGAATATTACAGTTTTATATGGCAAAAAATGTGATATATGAAGGGTGAGTTTGAAAGAAATACTATAAATACTATAAATGCTAAAACATGAAAAAAAAAACTGATGAAGAAGCCATAAACGTGAGAATGCTTTCAAATGGTAAGGCAACATGAATAGAATTTTTTTTCTGGAGAAATATCAAAATATAGTTATGGTTTGTTTATGGAATAGCTATGTAACTTATTTAAGGCTTGAATTACAGGATGTTATGTACAAATATGGAACTGAAGGTGTTTTTTTTTACTGAATGAAGTAACATATATATTGATGAAAGCATGTACAGAATGAGAATAAATAGAATATCTTGTGAAAGATTCAACACAGAACAGGCAGTATGATGGATGTATAATGTCCTTGGTTGTATAGGATAAATGATAGATAGATAGATAGATAGATAGATAGATAGATAGATAGATAGATAGGATGGAGATAAAGATAGAGATGATAAGATATGTAGAAAGAGAAACAGATATGAATTTTTGTTATTTTAATGCAATTTATCTACAGTCTCTATCCAGGTAGATTTAAATGGTTTGCAGATATTAGTACATGGAACAATAATAAGTCATACAGGTTATATTCATTCATTAATTGAAACTCATGTACCATAGGTAATCATGTTTCCACAATCAGTCAAGAAGTAAGGAGAAATTTTCTGATAGTGAGAACAATCAACCAATGGAACAGAAGTTGCCTTCGGAAGTTGTGGGAGTTTCATCACTGGAAGTTTTCAAGAAGAGATTGGACTGCCATTTGTCAGAAATGGTGTAGGGTCTCCTGCTTGGGCAGGGGGCTGGACTAGATGACCTACAAGGTCCCTTCCAACTCTGGTAATCTGTAATCAGTCCAGGGGTGAAATGCTCTCGGTTCGGACCAGATCGCCTGATCCGGTAGCGATGGAGGCGGGTGGTTCAGAGAACCAGTAGCAAAAATCCCTGCCCACCCCACATGCCCTGCTGAACCGCACAATTATCAGAGGCTTTTTAAAAAAAAACTTTTAAAAGCATTTTTTCTACAACCTCTTCGGCCAAAAAAAATGCTTTTAAAAGTTAAAAAAAAAAGCCTCTGATGATCGTGTGGCTCAGCTGGGATCGTCAAAGGCTTTTAAAAGAAAAAAAACCCTTTTTTTTCTTTTAAATGCCTCTGACGATCCCAGCTGAGTTGCCTGATCAGCAGAGGCTTTTTTAAAAAACCTCTTCGCTGAAGAGGTTGTAGAAAAAATGGTTTTAAAAGTAAAAAAAAAAATTGGCCACACCCACCCAGTCACATTACACACACCCCCAAAGCCATGCCCACAGAACCAGTAGTAACGAATTTTAGATTTCACCACTGAATCAGTCCCTGAAAGCTTTCTATTCAGTGGCTTTCTAAGAGAAAGGGTTTTTAAAAAAGAAATATTTGGAAGGCCATGCAAATTAAGGTTATCCTTATTTCAAGGGGCAGTTTTCCATAGAAGAATTCCCATGGAAAATGCCTTCAACCATGTCTAAAGTAATCCATATCCTCCATAGTCGTCTGCAAGTGCTAACAAACTTCTCCAAGGAATGCTTGGGCTGACATCATTGGTGCATTACTAAGTGTATTATATGTAAGTGGCTGATCTCAAGTGGTTGGCTGAGAATGCAAATGATATGCCACAAATTTTAGATCCATTGCATAATGCAATGAAAAACATGAATCTAAAAATTAATGTGTCCAAGACTATGGTATTATGTTTGATAGAATACATTGAAATGTTTGTAAGTTATACATAAACTTTTAATGTGTAAGCATAGCAAAATGCAATTTTATTTCCATTCTGAATATAGTTCTGGGAAATGCTCAGATTGTCCCAACACTTGACAATTGCTGACATTTTGGATCTGTTTCCCACAACAGAGGGTGACTCCTTTTTAACAAAGTCATCTTCCTTTGGGAATGCTTTCTTATCCAAGAGGATGGTTCATACTTTAATCACGAAATGTTTAATAACTGGATACTCAGTGTTGTGCTGTGCTGTGTGGAATTCATAAAGCTAAACAGGGTTGGGCCTCATTATTAGTGTACTATCAAGGCTACATACCTCCAGAAAGTCTTTCATCTGGACATCTGACAGCACTTCATAAATGCTAGTTAATTATTATTTGGCTAGAGACCATACAAAGGAAAACAATACTATGAACATGGTACATATAATAATTATTGTTCCATGCGAGCCTCAGGCTGGCATATTTGCAGAAATAATTGTTGTTTCAAGAATGAACCAAATTAGTAATATGCAAGAGGGGAGAGGATGGCTCATATCTACTACTGTAGACAAATTTTATTACCGTAGTACTATTTGGAATATCATCAATCCTAAAATCTCACCGCATGGTTCCATCCCTCCTCAAGGGCCATTGCTTCCAGCCATATCTTTACAGACTGGAAATATCTGAGCTACTTTAATATCATTTAACTGTTTCTTAATATGTAAATATCTCCCAGTGGAGAAACCTAATCAGACAGCAACAAGGTTGATGGAATGACACAGAGGTGGGTGTCAAGTGTAGGACCAATTGCTGCCCTATAGAATATACTATTACTATTCATTGTTAGTTGCGAAGTCGTGTCTGACCCATTGCGACCCCATGGACAACTTTCCTCCAGGCCTTCCTGTCCTCTACCATCCTCTGGAGACCATTTAAGCACAAAACGACTGCTTCAGTGACTCCATCCAGCCACCTCATTCTCTGTCGTCTCCTTCTTTTGCCCCTTGTCCTCAATCGTTCCCAGCATTAGGCTCTTCTCCAGTGAGTTCTTTATTATTATTTATTACTATTTATTACTATTACTATAAAGAACAATAATTCTAGGTACCCATATAGCAGGGGTGAATGCAGCAGGTTCTGACAGATTCTGGAGAACAGGTAGCGGGAAGTTTGAGTAGTTCAGAGAACCGGCAAATACCACCTCTGGCTGTGCCCAGAGTTGGGTGGGAATGGAGATTTTGCAATATCCTTCCCCCAGGAGTGGGGAGGGAATGAGGATTTTGCAGTATCCTTCTCCTGGAGTGGGGTGGGAATGGAGATTTTGCAGTATCCTTCCCCTGCCACGTCCACTAAGCCATGCCCACCAAGCCACACCCATAGAACCGGTAGTAAAAAAAATTGGATTTCACCATTGCCATATAATAGCTAGAAACCAGCCTGGGATTTTTTTTTTAAACCCCAGAAAAAGGGAATGACAATCCTCTTCCATGTTATTCGTAAGGAAAGTCCCTGTCCTCACATTTGACTTGGGGAAGGTGCTAACACTCTGTACAGCATATGCTACTCAACCATGGGCTGTTTATGCATTTTTCTTGCCTTTCAGTTAAACGCACTGGAGACAAGCATAAAGGGTCAGGTTGCAGAGTCCAGTAAAAGGTTACCAAGTGGAGGAAAAATTACAAAGAAACTCACAAACGTAAATGTGTGTAAGCAGCAGCATGTAAGGAAATAATTGATAGTTAGTAGTGGGGGGGGAAGAGAGAGAGAGAGAAATAAGGATGGGGAAGGACACGAGGGCTGTCCCCATAGATATGTGAAATTCTCTCCGCTTCTTCTGAAACCGGGCGAGTTTAAATCGTGGTACCACCCTCCAAAGAAAACGAAAACACAGCCGGGTGATACACGTGGGAACCCCTTGCAGGAAGTTTCCAAGCCAGCAGCTGCTCTCTGATCTCCGCGTTGTGTTTTTGCTCCCCTTGAAACTTCTTTGAAGTCCAGCTATCGGAAGCGACGCGTCCCTAGTAATTGCCGATCGGGTTGTGCACACTCGGCAAGGCGTAGCGCCTCCCGGGCTTCTGGGTGGGGAAAAGGGAGAAAGCAGCGCGGGACTTTGACCTGCCTCGGCTGGCGCGCCAGTCCTCTTCGCTCGACGCGTACTTTTTTTTTTTTTTCTTTTCAATATGAGGGGAGCAAAAAAACACAAAAAACAAAAAAAAAACCTGGGCTCGGCTGAGGCGGGACGGCCGCGCGCCTTCTCTTTCCTTGCTTTCTTTCCGGCCATTCCGCCCCCAAGGAGTCCAGACAAGTTTCCCTTAGCCAGACCAAAGCGATTTGTAACTTTCGCTGCTCCCAACAAGAGGAGGAGGAAAGGAGATGATGGTACCCCACCCCACCCCACCCCCTCAAGCCCCGAAGGCCTCGCCGCACCCAGGACCGCTTCGGCTGGTTTGCGGAGGCTGACGAGAGCCAGGGCAGGGCCGGCGGTTGTATCTCGGGCACCCCTTTTGGGATTCTGTCGGAAATTTCGCAGCTTGCCAAACGCCTCACCTGCTTTTTTTTTTTATTTTTTTTATTTATTTATTTATTTTTAAGGTGGAACCGGCCGGCCTGCGGTGCCTTAAAGCCCGCCTTCCTTAACCGGTGTCAGTTGCTAGGGAAAGGGGTGTGACCCCGTAGGTGTGTTACAAGTAAAGCGGGCGGGGGGGGGAGGGGAAGTCTGGGCAAGGAGTGTCCCAGGAGACCAAAACAAGGCTGGCGGGGAAGACGGGCATGGCGCGGGACCGGGGAGGTTAAGAGGACTTTGTGCGCCCGGCCGCGCCTCGAGTGGAACAACTTTTCTTGAGCTGAGTAACCGAGGTAGAGAGGAAAGGCCTGCCGGAGCCACCTGTAGATAAGTTCGCGCCTTTTCGGAGTGTGGAACTGCCCGCTCGGGCTCAAGAGAAAAACAGACGCAGAGTTGTGGGAACTCCCCCCCCCCTTTTCCCGTCCGAGCAATTTCTCGCTGGGTCCAACGAGGCCTCAGGCAGAAAAAAAAAGAGAGAGAGAGAGAGAGAGAAAAGAGCCGGGGCCTGTTTGAATGTCCTCCCCTTTGCTCGGCTGCTGCCACCATGCAGGAAAATAATTTCTTCTTGTCGGCTCTGCAGCCGGAGAACGGCGTGTGTTCCTTGGCGCTGCCCTCGGACCAGCAGCTCGACAGGAAGCGCAAAGAGGTGCCGGACGCCGAGCTGCTCAAGAACGCCCGGGTGCAGGAGCAAGTCCGGATGCGGATGCTGCAGAAGAGCCACTCGGGCCCCAGGAGCAACGGAGCCTTCTCGGACTACGCCGAGTTGAAAGGTAGGCGCTGGAGTGAGGGATGGCGGGGGTGGGGAAGATGACCTTTTAGGGCCTTTTTCCAGAGCAAAGAGGGTGGAGGCGTCCATCTAAGGGGGCTATAAGGGGACTTGAGTGGGTTGAGGAGGCCATTTAACCACAGACGGTTCTCGCGAATGCTTTGCGGAGTGACAGTTCTCTCTCTCCCTAGTTCCTAGGGTAAACAAACAAACAAACAAATCATGGCTTGCCAAAAACTACCCAGTGATTGGGTGAGAGGTGAACTGGGATGCCTCTTGGCTTAGAATTTCTTGGAACTCTTAATAAGCCTCTCGGCTTTAGAATAAAAAGGACACTTTTTTTATTGCATCCCATTCCGATTGTTCAGTGAATTCTCCTAAGTTTCTTCTCCAGTGTTGCATCTATAAAAGGCCTGGACTTGGGAGGTGGGGTAGTGGTGGAGGAAGCTGACTTTGGAGGAGTTAGTTCAAGAATGCTGATGCAAATATTGCTTCCAGAAATATGTTGGAATATGTGACCTTGATTGCAGCAGTGTTGAAGCTTCTTTGAAATCTATGAAACAGTGATTAGCTGTGCTTTCATTTAAAAAACTTATTTTTCCAATTGCAGTTCTAAGTTAATGGAAAGTGATGGGAAATCCACATGTTGTCTTTAATTTCTAGCCTTCTATTCATCTCATATCAGAGACAGTAGTACCAAAGATTTGTCAGCCAAAAGGAGGATTGCATGAGATAGGAGAAAAGTTTTGCCTTTCATTAATTTGGGTTTTCATTCAAGGTAACTATACCAGTTTATGTTGCATTGCTGACTCCCAGTTTTGTAGGAGAGAGTCTTTAGGTTTTAGATAACTAGAATACTCCTTCATTCCTCTTTTTTCCCCCCAGAAAAGAATGACATAAACTGAAGAAACTCAAAACTATAACTATTCTTTCTAAACCAATTCAGGAATATTATATTCCATGCTGTTCTTTTTTAATCGCATCTCCATCACTTATCTAAAGCTTATCTAATGGTGAAAAAAGTAGAAGGAATTTGTTAAGTTAATTGTTTATTGATACTATATTATAGTTATTCAAAATATTGTGTAATACAGAACCATTATCAGAATAATACTTTCTTAGGAGTTGGTTCCACTAAAGTACTGTAAATACAGCTGAGTTCTAGTAAAAAAAGGTTTAAGACTGAGCATAGTGAGATAAACAAGATGGGAAGCTTGATTCCAGGCATGTTTACTTGGAGATTATGTCCCACTGGATTTATTACGTGTAAATGTATGTTTGAGTTATTGAAAACAGTGCAAGTAATTCAATAGCTGAACAGAGTAGGATTTGAATTTGCCCTTCCCCTTTTATTTCAACTACGCATTTTCCAATGTGAATCAGGAGTTTATTTCTCACTAATTAACAAATGCCTTGTTAGAAAAGCCTTCCTTGTCAGAGTCATTATGCCTTTCATAGTTGCATCACTAACAAAAAAAAAATCAATTTGGTGTTGTTTTCACAACCCCAGGATCTCTGGAAAGTTGTATCAGTTGGATGTCTGCCAATCCAGGAACTAATAAAAGCATTGAGCAGAATTATAGTTTTGAACTTCACATTTTTTTAGATGGCATCTGTTACAATTATATTGTTTCTAATTACTAGGCTTTTGCTCTGTTACATCTGAAAAACTGACTAGCATTTAAAAGAAACCCATTTTGTTTCCTTTTAAGATGGCGTCTGAGAGATTTTGGCTGCATTTCTGTTCATTATTTTTCATGTTTTTTATTGGGAGTTTGAGACAAACTCCCAAATTAGGAGATGTAGTATAATAATTTTATTAATTTAATTTATATGTATATAAGTAATCCACCAAAGCTAGTCAGACTCTTTATATTGTACTTTCTGGCTGGGGAAGTTTGGCTTGAAAGTTTCTTTCTGTAATCTTTTTAAGAGAATACCTAACTGTTCTGACATAATTGATAAATTGGGAAGAAAGTTTCATAAATTATTTAATTTATCATTGTTGTTTAGTTTATTACATACAACTTCAGTAGAAAGTCTGGATAAAAGTTGCCATCTTTAATTCTTTATCAGGAAATGATACATTTTCTGATAAATTCAAATCAATATGGCAATTTGCTCTTCTCTAGACTTAGCACTGCTGCAGAGAAGGTAAGACTTGAGTGTGGGTTGTTGCTGAGGTGATGGTTTCTTAACATATCCCATCTGAACTCTCCTTGACACTGTTTATCAACTCATTGTTTCTGCTTCATGAGTTCTCTGAAGTTCTTTTGAATTTCTGTATTAAAAAGCATTGTGATGGCTATCTTAATTTATCTCTTCATAACATTCTGAGATTGGTGAATGGTGGTAGATACATTGCACAGGATTATGCTAACTAAAGTTCCTTTGAACTGTACTCTGATTAATGCTTCAGAAGTGGGTAAACCACTTTTGAAGATACCAGGACCTTGCTTTTTGTGTCTGCTTAGCTTTTGATATATCGGTCTGACTCTAATAATAGACTACTAACCCCATATTCTGCCCTGATGTCTATCCTGCATGTTACAGTGTTGTTAGATACCCAATAGAAAGATAGGATTTACACAAAGTCATTATTAAATAACATGGGGATCTTAAATTGGATTGAAATATGAATTATCCACAGTTATAGAATAAGCAAGTCACATTTCTAATCAGATTATTCAGGAACCAGTAATATATTCCAGGATGAAGGACCTCTCACCCTTTACATATTGGTGAGCACCAATATTGAGCTAGCAAGGTCAATAATGCAGGAAGCTGGGATTTGTATTTCTAGAAAGCCACACATTTCCCACTAACAACCTATTTATCTTCTTCCTGCATCAGAATTATGCAGACTTCAATACATATTTCTTTTTTCCCCATAAAATTCAAGACATACATACATATGATTCCTATTATGGTACAGACCTGGTACAGGTTCAGGCCTGGCTGCTTCTGAAACATGTATATCTTTAATGGATGTAGGATAGACAGCTATCCAATGGGGTCTAAATTGTTTTGTGTGATAGGGAATCGGCCCCAGACCAACGGTAGTTGAGAGACTGGGCTGAGATTTACTATTGACAGAAAGGATAATGCTCAAACATGTCATACTGCAGTGCTCCCTCCAGAAATCTTAAAACTCTTATCGCTGGCCATTGGCCACGCTCAATCATGTTGCTGAGTGTTTAGTTCAATATATCTGGAAAATACTAGATTGCCTGCAGATGTTACATAGAGAAGAATACTAGCACAATAAAGATACTGGAGGGCCAATTTGTTTCTCTGAATTTTTGGCAGAGTTTTCTGTAGATATTCTCAATCATGGTTGTCCCAAAAGTGCTTTTCAAAAGGCAGTTGGGCTTTCTTAGTTTTTTTCTTGAAAACGTTTCAGTTCTCATCCAAGAAATTTCTTTAGTTCTGACTGAATGGTGGGGAATGGATCGATTTATATTCTTTTCAATCATCTGGTTATTAAGCACTCTGAAGGTTGGCCATTAGCTCTGTGAGAGTCACTGAGGCCACTTGTGGGTTTATTTGTGCCTTCAGAGTGAATCACCTGAATCAGAGTGCAAAAGGGTGTGGAACGTTCTTGGGACTCTATCCAGAGTTGGGGGAGTTGAATTTTATAGGTGTGTTCAATAGTGAGAAATGTTGCTGTTATCTGGCAATTTGCATTGCTACAATCATAGACAGCAATATTGTCAGACCATGGTGTCACAATGGTTTAGAGATACTTTTGGCTCACAGGTCACATGCTGCAACTCCTCCTCCAATCCCATTTTAAGAAAAAAAGAACATATCGATTCTAAGGACATTTGTTATGAAAGACTTCCTCTAACTAAATATGGATTCATACTATACTATATGAGCAGGCTCATATAATAAGATTACATGAAAATCTCTCTCAGTTTGGGGGTAGGAGTAGATCTGGATAAATGGGCTTGGTATTATTAACTCTTTTCTGAATCGATGCCCTCCAGTGACTGATAAGAGGTCTTTCACCTTCAAAAACAGGGGTGAGATAATACTGTCTTTAAAGAGCTTTTGAACTGCTTACATTTAAGTCCTTCAGGGAAAAAACAAAGAATTTCCTGTTTGTTCTCTGTTTTCAGTAGAGATAGAGCTGGGTGTGTGTGTGTCTCAACTATGGCATGTAGCATAGTTAGGTTTACGGAAGTGTCTTCCTCCTGCTGTCCTGTCCTCTTTGCCCCACAACCACATTTGAAAAGATTGTGATGGTAGCATACAGAATTGATTTTAATCCTTTTAAGAGGAAGCATCTTGAATGTGATACACTTGCCCCTGGAAAGAGAGGAAGCTGGACGTTATATACATCTTCTGTCCTGTGGAAGTGATTGAACAAGTGAGAGAAGACAAGGGGGTAGAAAGGCAGAAACTGCCACAAAGAAAATGGGAATCAGATTCTGAATAGCACTATTGAGAAGATGGCCAACTAATCATGTCAACTCAACTGTGCCTTTAAAAGGAATAGGCAGTATGCTAGTAAATAATCATCATCAGCATATGCTTACAGGGATTATTCTGATTTGAGAAAGGAACTCTGTAAACTTGCCCTGGTGCCTTCTTACACAGAATATAGGTATTAACATTAGTCACCTATGCTGACTCATAATGTAGCATAACCCCCAGAATTCTAGAATACTTAAATGGTGATATATATGCACATATATACATTCTTATATTAACTGTATTATATATCCTATATATATTCTTATAGTAACTATATTATATAACCTAACTTGTGTATCATCAATTGTCTTTAGTTTCTTGTTGTGCCAAAACTGAACTGGGGAATCCCTTTATGTATATGCTTTGAGGATGGATCGCAATCCTTCTCCAGTCATCAGCCTTGACTCACCTGATGTTTTGTTGACATGTTTTCTTTTTCTTTTTAAAGCTGGGGGTTTTTTTGTACCTGTTTTTTTCTGCTGTTTGGTTTTTGATGCAGTAGATCTCAGGGAGGAAAATCTC